CTTGTTGAATTGTTTAAAGTACATGCACTGTTTGCAGCTTCACGTTTCACCATTCTGGGCAGTCGCATTCGTACAGCAAAACAAAAGACTCTGGAGAAGGGCAGACATCTTTTTTGCCCTTTGAAAGGTTATAGCCAAGGTTTCAAAATTTCCATTTCCCCCCTCTCAATCAAGCTCAGCTAATTTTCAGTGCTCGTTCGGGTGGATAGCTGATCATTTCTAATGTACTTTCTTTTTGACAGTGCGGGTCCCCTGTGTGTTCGTTTCTTTGCTCACTCTTTGTTTTTGGCTTCATTTAGCACAAAGTGAGTAGCTGTGCTGTGTTGAAACCGTGGGATTGCAGTAAGCAGTGGAAAATGTTTTTGAAGGGTTGTTTCCTTCCCCCAATCCCCAGTGTCATTTTTCCTTTTAAAATTGATTTAAACATTTTATTGAGGGCTTTATGCCATGTCCTAAACTCAAACCTGTGAAGCCTGGGCCACATGCTGGCCGAGCTGAGACCTTCCGTTCTTAAAATGCACTTGCCATTGCATCCCAGGGGAGTAGCCTGAAGGTACAAATGTGCCATTGCCTGGCCATATCTTCAACCTAAAGCAAGATAACTGATCGATTCCAAGTACAGGTGTCTCTGCTATAGTGCCATATTTCTGTAAAACCCCATATTATGCAAAATCATGCAATAAATATAACAGGGCTTATGGGAAAAATAGGGTTGGGGCAGACCACTCAAAACCTAACCAAATGTCTAACCCAAGCTTTACCAAGTTTAATAATTATCCTAATAAAAATGTTGGCACAGTTTAAATACAGTACATGTTAAATTCATAATAAATGAAGAAATACTACAGTTAACCACCTTGTATCAGTAGCATGCTTCTTATAGACACATGCTTGTCACCTTGTCCACTCATATTTACAGCAATGCAGAAGATTTTGTGAAAATAGCACGGAAAATCGAAGAGCACCTCCCAATTAGCACTTCCAAAACAAAGCACGTGGGGCAACTGAGCATCGTGTATATTCTTCCGCGGCCCGCCGCGTTCAGTTGTGTTACTCCGCGCCGCAAAACGTAGACATGTCGGGGATGAAATTGCGTATAAGCCAATGCGAGTTTCGCTTTCTACAGACATCTTTCCTCTATTACCAATTGCGTATGAGCTAATTCGCGTTTTTGAAACTCGCTTTATAGCAGGGATCACTGTACTACATTGCACAAGTCTTTCCTCGGGCCAGGATAAACTGCCGGGGGTCCCTAGCATGGTTTACTACAGGCCAGTGTATTATTTCAACATCTCTCAGGTGTGATACAGCTGTGTAACCATGTCTTTCTGAGAGTTATTAGAGGCTCTTCTTGGCCCGAAGGGACTGTAAAGAACGTCAGACCTCATGGGTTATTTTTTCTTTCTGTAGTCTTAAGTGGGCTTGCATTCATATTAGAATTATGCACTTCACATCACAGTAAATATATTTTCCTTAACCGTTTAACACTCGCATAATTGAGTCCTTCAGAAAAATGTTTGCTGTATTGTGCGATTGTTTTCTTTTGCATGGTTCTTTTAATCCGAGTACAGTGTGAGTAGTTAATTTAGTTAATAGTGTATACTGTCAGTATTGGTGAATTTAGATACTGTCATGCCACTTGGAATGTGTAATGTGGTTAGATAATGGAGACAACTGTTGAATGCCTCTGTTTTTATCCTGAACTCAATAAAAGTTTATGTGTTTCCATCAAAAATCCAGCACTTGAATGTACTGTATAGTAATTTTGGTGCTCTGGTGAATTCCACAGAAGCAAGGCGTTGAACATTGTTAAATGTAAATTTTGAGTAACAGATTGTGTCATGGTAAATGGTGTGCACGCTCTTTGTGTACACCAAAGAAGTGAAGCTGATAGTATGTCTTGAAATTCTAAGATTAGTTTACTGTATGTCTGTGTATCATTACAGCTCAGTGGTGAAAAAGGGAGGGGAGTTTCTTCTTTGAAGTGGAAATACTCCTCCAGGAGATGCAATTTGCTTTTTCATCCTGTTTGCTGATAGATGCCTGAAAAGGGAGCTCCTTAATGGGGCAAACCATCAATATGCCGGTAACGAAGGAGGATTGTTGAAACAAGAATCCGCACAGGTAGCTGCTCAGGCACCATATCACAAGGAATTTTCGTCTGAAATTCTCTCGAGTTATTTTTAACTAGAGCAAAGATACCTTTGATATGAAAGCTGTTGGTTCATTGCCACCCAGGGTGTTCACTTGGCTTAAATGATGTGACATGAAATCTTTTTCTGAGAGCACAGTCCTGGGAAATCAGATTTTCAGTGAGAAATATTGAGGTGTCGGGGCTCCATGGTAGTGCAGTGGTTAGCGTCGCTGCCTCTCCATAATGGGGCCCTGGCTTCAGTTCCTGGGGTGCTGTCTGCATGATCTCCTTGTGTTCGAGTGGGTTTCCTCTGGGGGCTACAGTTTCCTCCCACAGTCCAAAGAGGTGCTGGTAGGTTTATTGGCTTCTGGGAAATTAGCCCTGGTTTCCCTGTTTGTGTCTGTCTGTGCCCTGTGATGGACTGGCTTCCTGACCAGGGTGTATTCTGCCGTTGCTTGCCAGGACAGGATCCGGCCCCCCCATGACCCTGTACTGGATACAGCAGTTAGGAAATGGATGGATGGACGGACATTGAGGTGTCTCCTATGATGAGTTCTTCCGGAGCGCCTCAGTGTGCAGTCTGCTGAGCCCAGATGAGATGTAAAAGGATAAGAGTACAAAACTACTTCTCCTCACATATAGCTCCATTCTTTAATTCCAAATAAGCGTGAAGATTAATATTTCATTTTATAATAATAAGTATTGTTCTCAAACCATTTCTGAGTTAAAAATACATTCTTCTTCTTTTTGACATTTTGTGTTTCAGTTAGCCGTAACAGAAGTTAAAGGGGTTTCTTATGTGGCCTTGAGTATTCCAGTGACATGAATATTAGTGGAAAGGCTTGAATCATAAAAAGTCAAAATTGGATGTAGTAAGTCTATACTACATTTCCAACATACCTGTACATGATTGCTTGAGTTTGCAGTCTGTGGCTAATTGTAAAAAATAAGAAGTGGATTATGATTGTATTTCCTATTCTTAAAAATAAGAACCCTTTTTAATGTTAGCTTTATGGAATTAGGAGTTTTTACACTTGACAAAGTAGAGCAGACATGACATAAATAAAGATGCCTCCACAGAGTGGCTGTTTTAAATTAATAGAGTATATTAGCTTTTCCACACTTGCTTCTAATTAGCAAGCTACTGACTATTAAGAAACATAAGCAGCTTTTCAAAACACTATGCTTACATTTTTTCAAAAAATTCAAAAAAAAAATTCAGAAGATTTTTACAATTTTCAGAATAAAAAAATTACTTAAAAAGCATTGAATGTAACATGGCCAACCGTGTATGTTAGACATCTAAATTATGCTATTCATTTTCAGAGGTAATACACAGCTGTATTAGAAAACCCTTAGAAAGAATAGACTACTCCAAATAATAGATTATGATGCCTTATAATAATTTTGTCATTTTAAATGGACTTTCTATTCAGTAGACATTGACAGGATAGAGAGTACAAAGATGAGAGTACACAAAGGGTGCCTTCAGCAGTTATTTGAAACTCAGCTGACCCATTAATGCCTAGATATGTGAAAGAAATTAGAATGGTTATAGACTTAAAGTTCATTTTGTTGAATGTAATATTTTGTAGTCCTTTAGGAATCAATTACTGTATATGCTGTTTTGGAATCAGTGGGATTATAAAATTTAAGTGATTCTAACAGTCTTGAAGACTGCCACTCATTTTAGACTGATCTTGTATTCTCTCATTTGGCACAGGAGGTCAATCAAGAAATATGTTAAATAAAAGTCAGAAGCTCATAATTATCACTCCTTTAATGATTTACATATTATGAGATAATGAAATATCACATTGTGTTTCATGTGCAGCAGTCTTACAAATGAAAAAAAAAATAGACTGTTCCTTCTGACACTAAATAGTTTTGAATGTGGCAGAACTATTTTGTGTCATTAAAAATGTAAACTGTTTAGTTTTTTTTTGCCAGCTTGTTATTCCAGGGATGAAACTATAATGCATGTTAATGGCACGTGTACTGTATGTTGAACTGTCATGATAAACTTTGTACAATACTGAATAAAAGGCAATTTACCAGTTCTTAGTGGAATATGGTTACACATTTCACCACATCAGCAAAGAGCTGTAATTGCTCTTTTGTTTCCACAGCTTATCAGTAGGGTTCTTTCTGTGTGTTTTGAGTGTTGTTTCTCTAGATGGCCTAGATTCCTATTGTCTGGGGGAGAGAGCAGTTCAGTGACTGCTTATAGTACAGCTACATTATTTAGACTTGAGGTTGAGCGGGTGCTGAAACTGTCCTCCTGGCGGTCTTGTTCTCCTTGTGGAGGTCACTGGCTACAAATCAAAGATTTATTGCTCCACCCCGCATCTAGTCCTCTGTTGTGAAAGGAGCACAGACACCAGTCAGGGATGATTGAACTATTATCAGTGCTGGTGAGGTCTGGGGGCTCTCTCTGACCTAGTGTATAAAAGGGGTTTTACAGTAAATGTGAACCTTGTTTTTGCAAAGAGAATAATCCCTGGAGTCAATTTGAAAAGCACCTCTGTATATGCCTTATATGTAAAGTGTTACAAATAACAGTTTCCTCCTAACACTGAATTTTTCTTCTTCACTATTTTGTGTACTATTTTCATATTGAAGCATGCATAGAAAATGTGCTGTTTTTACTGAGGATCGAAATGTAAAAATAGATTAAACTCATTAGCAGTTTATTTCAACAGCTATGATGTTGTTGGGCTTTTGTCTTTATTACCATGTAGCTTTATATGTTGTGAAAGATCTCAGTTCTGTTGCAAAGGCATGACTGTATGCGCCTGTGTTGAATTGCCTGTAAGCCTCAGTGAGCTCAGCATCTGATTGTGGATTCATTTTCGCCACACTGCAGAGCCTGTTGTGGAACCCTGCCTGAACGTCTGACAAGGATGCCTCTGTCTCTGGAGCCCATCCTGAAGGGTTTGTATGGAGCTGTAAAGGAGAATCCTCGATTTCCAAAATTCAGGAGTGAACCTGGATATTCATATTAAGTGCTTTAGAAACTTTTTCTTAAGATACATTTGGTGATTGGATTAATATTTAGTTTAAATTTAAGTACAAAATTGCCAAGCCAAAATTGCATCCAACATGAAAAATTCTAAATCTCTTTGACTTTGTCTGCAATGTAATAGTATTCAACCTGTATAAGATCATGAACATTACAGTATCAGTAACTGTCATCATTACCCTACACATAAGGAGCTTCTTACATGATGCTCATTCACAGAAACGATGGACTAGAAATACATAGCATTTATTTATCATGGGTAACTTAACACCAAATAAATTCCACCCCCGACCCCTCTAAGATTATGGGACTGGCTCTCATTATTCATACACACTTATTTAATGCTATTGCACATGAAAACAGGGCAGCTGAAAAAGGTTTCTTTACTGAATCAACCCTTATAGCAGGAAATGTACAGCTTGTGCGTTTTACTTGCTGAAATTGCAATCCTATTAACTGTACTTGACAGGGTATGAGATTAAGTATTAGATTGTATTTCTGGGTATTAGATTGTCCTCTAATCCTTCATTAAGGAACCACATTTTATCTTTTCTTATCTTGCTGCAAAGTTCTTCAAAAGAAAAAACAATTGGCACTGTAATTGTTTCTTAAACATTTAGTCAGTTCTTACATAATTAGTTCTTACAGAATTTAATGCTTCTCCATGAACCATACAGTAGATTTGTCTTTGCAGTAACATGTTTTTCTCAGTGGTTGAAAGGCATTTCTTCTCACATTTGATGGTATCTCTGTTGCTGTGTGATAAATATCTGTTTATTTCACAAGAAAAGAGTGGTGCATTCACAGATGTGCTGTAGCTTTCAGATTTTTTTGTAGATTGGTGATGGTAGACTTTAACATAATGAAATTCTTCCAGGCATGATAAAATGTGTTATTCTCTGTAGTTTTACTTTAGTAAAATTTTAATATTGTGATGCTGTGAGGGGCTGAATCCTTAAAGGTTGGTACTGTACATCCCCAAAGCATCACGCCATTTATGGATGCACGAATGACACAAAACCTTCACATTAGCCTTTGCTCCTGCACAGCCCTATACGCCAATGTGCCATCCAGGTGGTAAATAGCAAACTATACCAGCTATAATCCTAGATTCTGAGCTGAAGATTCCAGCTACACCAGCTACAATCCGAGCCTCAGGGCTGAACATTCCAGATTCCAGCTACAATTTTCACAATCCCAGCCTCCGGGCTGAAGATTCCAGCTCCATCAGTTACAATCCCAGCCTCCAGGCTGAAGATTCCAACTCCACCAGCTACAATCTCAGCCTCCAGGCTGAAGACCAGCTATGCAGTTACCACAGCAGCCACTATAACACAGCGTAAGTGGTTTATTTTTTCAAACACAGCCCTGAGCCGTAGAATCCAGTCTCATTGCTGCTTCATAGTACTCTGGGCTGAAGACCTCTATATATCTATACCACAGCACAGGCTGTTTATTTTTCTTTTCAATTACTAGTCATGTAGATGCAGACCCAGCAATACTGCTGTCTTACAAGACTCTGAGCTAAAAGCCAGTTATGCTATTACTGCTCCAGCCACACAGAGAGAGGGCTCCAGGCTCACTGACACAGCCACAGGGCTTGAGACAAATATATTGGCCTCCTTGGACCGGACATTGACCACCCCTGCTGCTGTTCCAGATGCAAGCTGGTGACATACAATTCCAGTCAATAAACAACAGTTTAACATTAAGACTTGTGAGCCACCTCAAACAGCATCACAATGTGTATTGGTAACAGTCCATTGCATGCAGTCCATAGTTTTGTTTTTGTTTGCTTTTGTGTGTTGGTTTGTACATCAGCATGGACTTCACAACAAAAGTCCCAGAACACAGTTTCCTACCCAGACAGGCTAGAGCTGAACCTTTTTAGTCCTGAACAGAGAACACGACAAAACAATCTGATCCAAATGATCAAAACCCCTCAAAGGCTCTGACAACGTCAACCTGATTGAATTCCTATGTATGTAGAAGTAAAGGTCACAGAGATAAACTGAAGAACATTTAAATCTGAGAACAGGAGGCGCTTTTTTACTCAACAAGTGGTGGGAGAATGGAAGAAGCTGCCCAATCGTGTTGTTGAAGCCAATACCCTGGCCTCTTTTAAGAATTGGCTGGAGATAGTTGGATTGGGATAGATGAAGCGGATGACCTCCTCTAATTTCTAACCTTTTGTATGTATAAGAATATTTGGGTCTGTGGAGAATTACTTTGAATAATTTTGACATTGAATATTGTAGCTGTTGTTGCTAACATTCCTTCAAAGCCACTGACAATACTACCGGTCAAAATTAATTCCAGGTTGTCTGTCAGTATGGCACAAGAAAGTTTTTAAAGTATCGTATACCAGATTCAGATTCCTTCTTTAGGACAGTAGATTTTTTAGAACACCGATCATGAAATGTAATTATGTAGCAAAATGGAGTCTTTACTCTTTTAAAATGTGCAGAGCACATCATGTAACAGTACGTGAGCTTGTGTTTCATGCTTGACATTGAATGGTACATTTGAAATGGCAGGGTTCATTTTACTCTTCTGATTTGCTTACCATTCAGCTGCAAAGAAATATATACTGTGGATTAAAGCCTCTACTTTGTCTTGGTTTCAGACATGCTGTGTTTTTTCTTACATCCAGGATAAAGTAAGATGCTTTACTTAATCAACAAAGTCAGAGGAGAACAATTTATCATTTACAATATTCTTAGGGGCAAAGGCTTGAATAAACCAAGTGCCTATAACAAAGGAGAAAAAATGAAAGAAGATCAATAGTGCAGTGGACGAATCACTGCATGAAACAGCTGAAGTGCAGAATGACCAATTGCTTTATGCTTAACAAGTGTGGTAGCTGGAGGAGCTGTTAAACAATATAGTATCAGTCAGATTCTATTTTTAACCTTTTGTGTTCATACTCATTCAAGTGTTAATGTTGCAGTTTTCTATTGCGACAGTTGTAGTTCAGCCCCTTTGGTTAACCGTCACTGACATCGTGGGAAAAGGGCTGCCCAGGACATGGAGATCATGAAACAAAACCATTTTCATTTGTTCTGTTTGCACACAAGCACTGGATTGCTCTCAACCAATGAAACAAAAGCCTAGCTCTCTGGAGCACTGATTAATTGTGTTTGGGTCCCTATCTGCGAGTCAGGCTACCATCCTGCTTGCCAACAAAACAAACCGTAAACACAGTTGGGAAGTCAAAAATATGGTTTCTTTATTTTTACTTTCCAGTGTGGAAATAACTTCTGCTTGTTCCTTTGCAGCATGCGTGCTGACATTACCCCCTCCCCAACCTCATAAACATTGTTTTCCTGTTCCAGATTCTGAATAACAAATCCGATGTGTTTTGCCTTCGTGTTTCAGTAATAAATTAGGCATACTGTACATGGCATATGTTTGACCTCTGAAATAAAGTAGGACCTGTTCTTCCCTTGTTTCTGACAGAGAAAAACTAGGCTTTGATGTCAAAGTAATTCAATTTCCAACATGCAGTGGTAGGATCTGCTGCCTCATTTGAAACTCACTTATGCACAGTATGAAATGTGTATAAATAGCCGTGCAGATGATCTGTTTGTACTCTGTAAGTTTGTTGCACCTCACATCACACATGCAACATTAACCAAAAGATGACATGAAACTGTTGCCTAATGTATATGTAAGTAACCCTCAATGGAAAGAAATAGGTGTTGCCTATTGTTTATCACGCAACACTGATGTTACTGATTCCATCTACAGTATACATCTACAGTATACAAAAAGACAGTTTATGAGGTCAGAAATGAGCATGTTTGTGTAAAATGGAAAAAGAGAAGTGTGTTAAACAGTCATATAATCCAGCACCGGTTTACAGTAGCATTTTGCATCTCATCACTGCTGCTCTAATGGCAAATTGTTTCCAGCCTACTGGCAAGAGGGAAAAGTTCAATAAAAATGAAAAGTACAGGGGAGTGGGGGAAGGCCAATATCTCTTTAATATCTGTCATGTCTGTCTGTTCCGCTCGGTGAGATGTTGTTTTTTTAATTACTGTTTTAAGATTTTATTTTTTTTTTTTGCCACTAAAAACACTTGTGGAACCTATTTTGTTTCTTCCTTTTTAATTACAAAATATATCACATTATACAGTACACAGTAGGAGTAATGTAAATAATTGTTCTGTGTTTCCATTTGTAATTAGTTTACAGAATGTTGGAGCATTTGTCTCTCTCTTGGGAAGTTGGGTGGATATATGCCAGTCACAGAGCTGGGGTCCTTGACAGATTTGGCAGTTGTAACTGCAATTTTCTTATTAAATTCTCCTGGAAAAGTGGGTTTATATATAGTTCACAATAATTATTTTTTTTTATCTTAAAGAGAAATATGTTTTGAGAAACTGAAATATTTGGGGGGATTTTGGAAGAAAGGTATGTTGTATATTTTGAGAGCTTCACTATTTTAAACAAATTAAACAAAAATATATGTTTGTTTAATCAGTTAAGTCAATTAAAAGCAAATTCTCATTCAGTGCTGTCAATGATGAGCAGGAGAGTACCCATTTGTACTGCAGGTGTTTTAAGAACAGGATGCTGTAAGTGGAAATGAAATTATGTCTAGACTGAAGATCAGAGTCACTGTGTTGTTTAATTTATTAATTTCATTCCAGATCCAGTCTTCACAAAACATGATGTAGAATTTTTTCTAATTGATCAATTTGTCCCAGATTTTTATCCAAGCTAGTAGTTACCTAGCACAAGGTTTTCATCATTCCCAAGCCTTTGACATGCATATAGTTGAAAAATCTGACCTCTGAAGACCAAAAAAACATGTTCGCCAGCTGTTTTTTTGGGTTTTCTTTCATATGTTTGTCTGCTGAGTGGACACATTAAGAAATATAAGAAATATTCACACTCAAAGCCAAGG